CTATTGTTCAGGCATGGGTGAATTCTGGGTCACTCAGAACTATCATCAAATTACTCTTCTTTCTTCCCCTCTCCCTCTTTTTCTATCCCTGTTCTTTGCTGCCACGTAGGAAGTCTGCTTAATAATGAAGCTAACACTTAGGAAAGCAACAGTGGCCACAGGCACTCCCAGCTGCTGTTGAGTCAGCTGTTAATCCCATCCAGTGCCTCCCTGATTGTATCTTGAGAGCCCAGGTTGACAGTTCCCACTGGCCTGACTTGCGTGCAGTAGGAATCTCTTAACTCGCCCAGTGGCCAGAGGGATAGAGTGTGTCAACTCTGATGGGTTATACCCTCCCTGGATCAGGGATGTAGGTGGAGGGGACTCCTAAATCAAGGACTAAGATAATAAAGGACATGGTTCTTTAAAGAAAAGCATAATAAGAGAGAAGGAACACTGGGCAGGCCAAAGCAACTGACTCCCTTTGCAGTAAATTATACAGAAATTTTAAATGAATTCAAAGCCAAACCAAACAAAAGGATCCCCTGTCCCCTATTTGAAGGCTATACTCTGAATCCCAGATGGAACTTGGGAAGGACTCACCTTATCCCTCCTCTAAATGCCCGGGCCCCTTTCTTATAAAGATACAGCATAGGACACGCCCCCTCCCCGGCCCGAGCAGGGGAAGAAATGGGACCCCGGCCAGATGAACCCTGGAGACTGTAAGGACAAGGCCCCAGCAAAGGGCTCCTGCCTTTCCTCCTTTAGCTTCCTCTATCAGCAATCCCGGGGGAGAGGGATGATGGCTTAGAGCTATCTTTTCTGTGAAATAAATTGAAAATCCCCTCACAGTGAGAAGTACTTGACCTTGTTATCAAGTAACGTGGGCCGGGTTAATCAAGTGACCTCTGTCTGGGAGGGTTCCACCCGCTTTGATTTCAGATTTCCAGTGAGTGAGGAGAAACCGGCTTGCCCTTTGCTGGCCTCATCAGGGACAGCTCATTCTGCTACCCTGAGGCCAGCTGCGCAGATAGAGAGCAGTCCTCCCCCTCCATGGCTGTGCCTCCTTCTCTCTGAATCATCAGAGGTAAGCAGATTTGTATCTGGATTCCCCGGAGGGAGGAAAGAGCATCCTGCTCTATGAAGGTTGTTTGGGGTGCTTGGCTGGAGAGATAGGGAGCCTACCCTACTGGTTCTTTTGCAGAATCTGTAAAGGGCATGAAAACACTGAAAAGGAAGAAAACGACTATGGGAAAAATGTCAACCACCAACAATGTATTCGAGCCTGAGTTGTTTGTGTTCTCATATACACTTCACCACAGATGCAGAGTCTAAGATTCAGGGAAAGGAAAGGCGTCTCTGAAAATGGAACAGTCTATTGGCAGCACTTTAAGGAAGTAAACATTTACTCTGAAATATAATTCATAAACTCAGACTATTTTTTATATGCCCACAGAGCCTACTTAGTCTGGATTTATTATTGTGAGGAGTTGAACCATAGAAATACTCTGGAGTTCACAAAAAAGATCATTAAAGTAAGAAACCATAACTAAAAGTAGAGTAGGTAAGATTTGGCCCAAAAGTAACATGGCAAAAGGAGACCGAGCTTAGAGCTGGTTCTGAAGAATACGAGAGGAGGAAGTGTGTATGGCCGATCTATTTCTTCCTTATATGACCCAGGAAACTTCTTAGGCACTTTCATCACACTGATTATCTTGGGCGAAGAAAGAATGGAAATAGATGAGCTAGGGTTAACTAGAATTAGTATTTGGCCCCATTGCTTTGCCCACTACTTGTATGAGTTGGGGAAGATCTTCCTCTGTTGAATCTGAAAGAAAGATTCTTCAACTGC